TGTTCTTTGGTTTTCTGGATTTATGCAGTTAGTTTTAACTTCAGTGAAGTGCAAGCAAGTCTGTGGTCTCAAGGTCTAAGACTGTGTTCCTCAAGTCAGCCCATGATGAGGTGGCATGAACTGTAAGTATGACAGCCAAGCAGTAGGATGCTAATAGGTCAGAGGCCAATTCCAGGCTGAACTCAGTGCCTGCTCATGCAAGTTATAAGGCATTCTCATGTATTTGTGTTTGTGTGTGCAAGGAAGTCGCTTTTATTGTGACTATAAAAATACTCACACGTCTGTCACTGACGAAGGAACATTCTCCTCTACCCACTTCAGATCATCCTCCTGCTACAAGTACAGAAATTAAATGGAAAACAAAAAAGTCAGTTTTCCCAAAATGCTGTCACATGCAACCCTTTTTCTTCTTAACCTACTTGACAAAAACCCAATATATTTATAATGACTTACTCCTAACTCTGTAACAGTCTAATGGTGACTAGGAAAAGCAGGCCCTCAGGACTCTTTATTTACATAATCTAGTTTAGTCTCCCACAAAAGAACATTATTTTTCGAAGATGTTATAAATGACAAATTATTACAAAAAGCACATGCTAGATTTTGCAAAGGTAAGTTAAACTGTATTGACAGGATTTCTCTTTTCTGTCTGATGAACACACTCTAATTCACATGCACACTTGTTCTGGAGTTGGAGAACTGATCCTTTCTGATCCTCTCCATCCCCAAAACAGTAAAGTTTCATTTTCCTGTTATCCTCAGATAAGCAGTATACAGTTGCAACCAATCTTTGAGGAAAACAATGTTAATGACAAAAATAATACTGCTATTATTATGAATTCCTACAGCTTATTTTCACTTAAATTAATGCATGAATTCCATTAAAAGATTCTGATACATATTTTCTACCCCCTAGCTGGATGTGAAACTACTTCTGTTTGTAAGCCACAAGGAAAAAGCACAGATATAATAAAAATGTTCCACCCAAACTACTTAAGTAGCTGCATAATATTCACATCATCTCATTCAAGTAATGTATCACAAACTTCAAAATTAGAAGGGCAATTAATTTATTTAAAATACAGCTCAGCCTCCCTCTCAGCCTGACAGACTTGTTAAAATAATGTATTATTCACTATCAGAATACAGTATTGTGATAGAAACAGTTGTCTATACTGGATTGTGCAAATATTCCTAAAGAACAGAATTAATTCGAAAGCTTCCACTGCACTTACAGGAAACGAGAGGAAAATCCTGCATTTACTTTCTTTTCTCAAGTACTATAAACATTTGATACGTTGATTCGCTCCCTCTCTGAAGCAAACCAGGACACTCAGATTTATAGGATGAACACTTTGCGTATTTGTGAGCTACTACTGGGGGAGGGGAGTGGGGGCAACCAAACAAGAGAGAGATCTATATCCTTAGGAGGTTGGAGGGGCAGACTCACAGTTTTGTTTGCTTTTACATTCCCATTTGGTTCTTGCTTTGTACTTCTCATTTTCATTCCCTCTGAAGACAAAAGAAGGAAAAAAAGATTAGGATAACTGAACTATAGTTGTTCACAGAAACAACTCAAAGTTTTGAGTGTTAGTTTAGAACACTTCATCAAATCCAAAAAGACAGAGTAAGACAGAGAAGTTACTCATTAAGATGATGCTTTCCCTTTGAAAGGCTTGTATTTTTCTTGACAGGTGGAGTACCTAGTTTTTCCCTGAATTCTGCAATTTTACCTATGAAATATCAATGCCTAGTCCTTTTCTTCAAGCCAGACATGGGCAGCATAGAACACAGACATAGTTGCCCAGAGAGGCTGTGGAATCTCCATCCTTGTACACAAAAGCCATCTAGACACAGTCCTGAGCAATCTGTTCTAGGCTCTGTTTCAGCAGCCTATTTGGACAGGATGACCTCCAGTGGTTCCTTCCAACCTCAACCGTTCTGAGACATAAGCAACTCCCCAAATTTATTTTACCTACTGACTGCTGACCAGCCACTTGGTTAACTTAGCAGCTGAGAGGCAACATGTATCTCCCAGCCTGGCAGAGGGACGGATAGCTGATCTGACAAATGCACCTCAGCTCCTAAGCAAGTGAAACAGCACTGACACATCCAAGCAGAATTGATCTGTGGACAGACAGCAGCAGTTGGTATGTCTCCCTGCCTTTTACACAGCTTACAAACAACAGTGTTACAAGGAAACTATACGTAGTAGGGAGATGGGAGACAGTAAGATAGAGGGTTTGATAGTAGGAGGGGAGTGAGAGGAGAGAAAGATGCAGCTTAGTGTTATAAAGCAGGACTCTTTTGTTCATATGTAATTTCATGAATAAACATTTTCATCCATATGTTTACAGGGGACATTGCTGTACTAGGCCCTGACATGAAAAATTAAGATTGCAGATTTCAGACAACAGGTAGTAAAAACCCTTAAAACTGGATTTTAGAAGAAAACTGCAAACTAAACTACTGCCTAGCAACAATATATGACAGACCTTCAGATATGTGTCATCATGATCTGGATCAAAACCTACGACTTGACATATTTAATAAAACAAAGTGCAGTGAACATGGTAAAGCAGCCACAACAGAAGAAGTGGTTCAGTGCCATCCAAAAACCTCAGAATTAAACCGGCAATGTAAACACTAAACATAAAGCCAGTGTTCTCTCTACAAATGCATAAACAAATGACAGCAAGGAGGCATTGCCTCTGCTTCTACAGCAATAATGAACTTTTTGCCAGACAAGAGACCTCCCTCTGCAGAAGGGTCTCTTCAATGCTGGAATTAGGAGGGAAGTTTTTCTCTTACCGAAGCTTTCACTTAACATTGGTTCTTTCTGCTCATCATCATCCTCCTCCTCCGACAAGGGTGAGAAAGCAAACCTTTAGGAGGGAAAGAATGAAAGCTATCTTAGAATAACATTCATTACCCCCACATTCCCATGACTTTTATGTAGTTCACTGTATTTAAGACCTACGCTAAACTACATTATCAAAAGTGTAAGTCACTTCTTTTTAGTAAGTTCACCCCCAGGAACAGATTGAATTTAATCTATGTGACTTCCTACACTTACTTTTCCTCAAGCACTTACACACAGTGCTTAGTAGCCTTATGGATCAGTATACAACAACTAAAAAAAAAAAAACCAAAACACCCACCAGTACTTCATTGGATAAACAAGCATTCCCAAAACCCCAGTATCTTTAGAAAGAGGCGAGAAAAGCTGAACCTTTGGTTGTTAGCAGATGGTCTCCACAGAATCATGATGACAAAAAGGATCATTGAAAACAATAAACGCCAGATGGCATCATCCACCCATAGCTCCTGCCAGTCCTGTCAAGGAAAACAGCAGCACAAACAGAACAAGTTGTGAAGAAAGAGACTCCCCAGCACTCAGTTCTTTCCAAAAGTAAACTATAGGCATCTGACAAAGAGGTTCCTTTCCCACAACAGTGAGAATTTTAGCATGTGGTATATTACTCTAGACATAATTCACAGAAAAATCTGTTCCAGAATACCCAATCCCACCTCTTACACCACCAAATGTAAGTTTATCAAGAGACAGCAATTGCAGAAAGCATTCAATACAAACTCACCGCCTGACAGTCCACCAGCCTGAACTTCATGGTGGTCCAGATGATAAATACAATAGACGCTGCAAGATTAAAACAAGCAAGCTGCTTATTCCTACAAAATATGCTAATCCAAGTATACTACTAACAGGACCTGTGTTTCCCAAACAAAAGGTGAAGAATTAAGCAGTGAATTCTTGGAATCCAATCCATTAATTTTGGAAAACAAGAGACTGATTTATTGCATTGACCTTATGCAGTAGTTTAGGCACAGGCCAGTATATTCTGTTCTTGGTTCTTCAGAGACAAGGCATAAATCAAGTATGAAGTACTTAGCCAAACTTCTCCTCCCCATGCACCACTCTTGTATTACTTCCACCTAGTCTCCAAACCACAGTTTCATTATCAGTTGACAAAGCCTACCTTGAAGTAAAGGAACCATGTGATCTGCCTAAATACCTAAGCGTTCAGACCTTGACCCAGAAGAGTACTAATCCTCAAACTGTGCTCTCACCAGTGTTTTAGATGACACTTCCCTCCACTAAGGAGTTCTATGATGACCAAGAAGCAGATGCTGCAAGGAATTTAATCAGAGCTGTCAATAACAAGGAATGCACTTTTTTGTTTGTTTAAATAAAAAAGCACAGTGCTTAAAAGTTTTCTGCTCATTGTATGGACAGCATTTCCAAACAGATGAGGAGCTGAGCACCTGGAAGCACCGACAGATTTATTCTGAAGTTCAGTTAATCACTACTACAACTGCAAAAAGAATCTACAATTCTTCCAGAACACCAAGGGCATTATGTTACAATACTAAGAATACTGTTTTTCCAAGAGTAACTCTTGCCTTCAGACATCTTAAAAACCCCACAGTACACAGCCATACTGTGATTTTGTAAAAAGTACCTCTGTGAGGTTAACCGCACAGGATAATCTTTTGCCCCTGGCAACTTTAAGAGAGGTGAAAGTGCTCCACTGGAGGAGCTGCATAAAACTACTGATCAGGACTAATAATCCACTGACTCTGAAGTATCAACGTAACACTTGGCATAGACCCACTGTTAGAACTGGGTCGCCTGTTAGAAATACCAAGTACTCTGACTGCATTTACAGAAAGGTCAAACTCAAAAATCTGCTTTAGTGACCAAATAAAGCCATATATCTAAGTGTCAAGTGCTCTTACTCGATTCAGATCATTTTCTGCTTACCTGCTACCGCCAAGATGAGCGTGTTGGTGAAATGCCGATACAAAGAGAGTTTCACAACATTCCTTCGAAGTTTTAGCAGCTTCATTGTTTGAGTTAAGCTGATGAAGATGTATGGTAAGTCAAGGAAAGCCTCTAAAGCGACAAGCTGGCCACAGATCTTACGACCAACAGCGCTCTCACCCACACACTTAGCCCTCTCAAAAGGTAGGCCAGACGCAGCAGACAAGTTCATCCTATGGCAAAGGTGCCAAAGAGCAGGATCAATTCCTTTTGTGTTATTTACTCATCTAAACCTAGAACTCTTGGCAGACAAAGATGGTACCCAAGTACCTATTTTGGACTATGGCCCACTCCTGCAGAAAAGCATCAAAAGTATTTCTGATAAATGGAAAATCAGCTCTGAACTAGACGTGAGTTGAAGTCCAATTAGAGAGTATGTATGCATGTCTTCCCCCTTTGGCCTACAATTTTAGTTCCATAGTGACAAAACAAGTGCCTAGGAGAGACATCGGGGTAAGAGCGAAATGGGGTTGTCATGGCTGGGCAGCAAGCAATTCACATATTAAGTAAGATTTTTGTGATTGACTCTTGGTGAAAACACTTAATTGGTATTTTTGCTATACATAGCTTTGAGTTCAGCATTTGACAGCAGGTGCTGGAGTCACACAAGATTACAGTTGTTTGGATGTAATACGTCAAGACACCAAAAAGTTACGCTGCCCCGTTTTGTCACCTGACTACTTCAAGATGGGTTCAAATTTTAGAGAAAGAATTTTAGGTATGATGTTGCTAAGAAACCCTCTCCCCTAAACAGAAACTGAGAGTCTGTTCTCCAAAGGCTACTACTATGGTATTGTTACAGCGCTACACTGCAACAAATTAATTTCATACTTCGTCAGAGACTGACAACAGACAAGACTTAAGTAGTCTGTGTTCCGGAGTTACTCTAACACAGATATCTAATGGGTACCTAGTTTTCCTTGCACCGGCTGAAGCAGAAGCTTACCTGAACACTCAGTTTCAGAGATTCTATTAACTCTGCAGGCAGCAGAAAGAACATACACTTTAAGCTGATTAAAAAACAAAGTTCAGCCAAAAAGACTCAAAAAAAAAAAAAAAATTGAGAGAAAACACACCCCACCAAGTAAAATAGTGAAGGATATCCACCAGCATAGGGCAGTATCTAGGAAAGCCAGGGGAATAAAAGCCAAGGAGGCAAGATCATTCTGGGCCTGGAGAAAAGAGAGAGCCAGTAAGAACAAACTGAAAAGGAAACAAGGTACAGCAGAAGTGAGGAGGGTCAGGCTATTTTATGAGAAACCACAAATACTGCACCACAACGCTTTGGAGGTTTACTACAGAAGCAGAGCCTAGCCCAATGCACAGAGAGGAACAGGCAATACCACACTGTCAGTTCTCCACCATCAAGTAGTTCTCCAGATTAAGTCAATCTAGCACCATCAAAAGGAGGCTCTGCTGAGGTGATGGCTGGAACTATACACTCTGGCCACTTCCATTATAGAAAACTATCAATCAGCTTGGTAGAAATGTAGCCATTAAATCTGAATGCTCCACTGGCAACCATGAGTTTGACTGAAAGCGGCCAAAACTGCCTTTGTGTGTACATCAAAAACTATCAAAGTCCCTACTGAAACAAGCAAATCACCTTTTATTCCTTTTAAGTATAAGACAAATATTAAGCTGTGAATAAGCTTGTAACATTCTGCAGTTTCTGAAAGGATATCCACAAAATAATACAGGCATCAATCATGGACAGGGCCAAGTTTGCTACCAGAGCCACAGTGTCATAGAAAAACTGAAAAAGTACCAAATATATGACATGTTAAATACCTTACCCCAAAACACCAAAAACAGAACAACAGAAGTCTACATCCAAGATGCACTTAAGGAAGCAAGCAAGCAGCACCACACTCACATGCACTTCCCCAGGTGCATGGTGGTGGGTTTTTAAGTTTTCTGTTTTAAGAATGATGGCCAGGCCACAACTAGCCCTACCCAATCCAAAGCATTAGCCATAAGGGTCTAACATAGGGTCTGACACCTGACTAATCAGAGAACTATTAGAATTATTTCAAAATACATAGAATTACATCCTGATAAATAGGGAAGACAAACTTGACAAAGTCAACAATCCAGATCCACAGTCTCAGAGCTCAACCACTTCATTGCCTCTGTTCCCTTCTTTCAGCACAGCCCTGGGATTCTCCCACACCATGTAAGTACGTAACGCCAATAACATCTGTGACATATGGGAAAATACAAGCAGTTATTACTGACCCCTGTGACTCTAAGAACACCTTCCATGCCAGAAAATAATAGATAGAGGGCTCCAGCCATAACTACTTTGTGAAGAGTAACTCCAAGGCGAGGCCTGTAGGAAAACAAAATGAAATTTACATTAAGTGGGGGGAAAAAAGCAAAGTCATGTCATCCTGACTCTAACATAAGGCATGAAGCATGTGAATAAAAGGTCCTTGTGACAAACCACTTCTAGATCCAGAAATAGTACCTCAAAGGGTACTATTAACTTTGTCTTATGGTATGATGTGACTAAAGAAGAGAGTGATAACAGTCCTTTTTCCCAGTTAACCTGTTCAAATTTTTACAAACATTTCAAGAAGTTTCAGCCCACATCTTCTGCACCAGTTCCCCCAGCACACCCACATTTGCAAGAGGCTTCCACTCCTTCCTACTACCACACAGCATGTTGTTTTACCACTGAACACAGCTGGGGGCAGACCCATGAGCAGCAATCTTGGCAGCAGAAGCCCCCTTAAGCAGATCCTCTCCCTGATCAGTGATTCCCCATTTCTACAAGCTCCTCCTTGCCCAGAAGGAAGGCATATAAAGCTTCCATTCCAGTCAGTGGAGTATCTCAACAGTGACTCAGAAACTTACCCAACACGGAAGGGGGTGGGAAGAAGAGTAATCACCCTACAGAATTCTATGTCTCTGACTAGTGAATGAATGAATTCAGTCAGATGAATACCACCCTAAGTTAAACACCAACAGTGAAGAGCTGAAAACACAACAAAACCGTAACAGAATTACTCACTTGACTATCCCATATCCCAGGCTGACTATGATAACCAGAGTTCGAGCCAATGAGCGCTTCACAGCGGAAAGCAGTTCAGCCAGTATTACTGCCCCTTGAACTACCAAAAGCAAGGAGAAGGAAGCTAGGTTATTAAAATACATTTTCTGTTTCCTAAAGTACTGTAAGCAATTGTAGTATGAGAGCAGGCATAACTGTTTTCAGAAAGTAAGCTATTAAAGTGTATGATCTTTTTACTACCTACATCTGGAGTAAGCTTTCACAAAAGAGAGGTCACAGCTTAAAAAAAGCTACTGAAAAAAATTTACTTTACATGAAGTTTTACTTGCAAGCTCCATTTGTATGCACCCATCATAAAAACTTGAAACCAGAGTCCCAAACTTCTACATGGAGAATTGCTTAAGATGGATTATCAGGCTACGGGCTGAATACCAAGTCATCTGCAACGATGTCATGTTGATGAAGGAGTTTCAAAGCCTCTTTCCAAGGCCAATAGCAATCGTCAGAAACGACTTACAAGCTACACTTAGGAAGTACTATTTTAAACCTCAAGCCAGCACTACAGCGAATACTCTCCTGAATTTAGCATTTTACATCTCTAAGATACTACACTCCCAAGTCGGAGAAAGCAACAGCATCTTAGCTTTAGAAGATCACAGATCATCATTATTCAACAATACATAAAAAACTGCAGCAACTCTGGTGCCCTGTCCTTTGTTTTCAAACAATCCTCGAGTAATCATATATTTAATATGCATCTGTCACCCCAGTTTAGCATCAGTGCTATGCCCCATCAATTAAACTGCAAGCTGCAATTGCTACCTACCAGATTCCCCGGTGTAGCGGATATTCTGGAACTCTGCATAGAAAACTGCTTTCTCGAGCATTCCCAGGAAGATAACGGCACCAATCCAGAACTGGATCCTCAGGAGATCACGCCAGTAACAGGCTGACCACGCAAGCCATAGAACCCCGAAGAACACGTACACAATACACATCACCATGAAAAACTATTACACAAAAAGAAACAAGAAATAGTAACATTAGACCCAGAAAAATAATTTGCTTCCATTCCACAGCTGTTTTCTCCTCAAGTATAGCATCTTTTGAAGTTTTTGTATACAAGGTGACTAGAAACAAACATTGCTTCACTCCTCTTCTCTGGATCCTTTTACAGTGACAGTCTAATTTCTCACTGCCAATAAAGGGAAACAGAGTAATTGCATTTGTGAGCAATTTCTCTCTTTAAGAGCAGTCTGCCAATTTATCCACAGGCAATTTTTTTTAAGGAAGATATCAAGTGCTACTAGCTTCCAAAAACTCAGGTAAGAGCTCAGGCAAATCTGACCCTTCTCATATATCCTATTACAAACTTCACCATACATTTACAGCACTCTGCAAATAAGCTTGCAAGTCACCTTTACACACCGTCAAAAGTTTATTGCCAGCAAACTCAGTTTCTGACCAAATTTTATGTCAGCCAAAAAATCTGGAATTGAAAAAGAACCCCAGATATTCATTTAAATACTATCATTTTTTGATTTCTTTTTTTCCCCAGTCCAGTGTTACTTGCTTCAGAACTCTCAGGGTCCATGTCTCCTAGAGCAAACAGTAACCTTGACAATGCTACTCAGTGCTGAGTTTTCTAAACGATAGCACCATACCAGAGCAAGTTAAGATTAAAAAAGGACACTGAGATTAAGAAGAGGGAGGGATAAGGAGTAAGACATTAAATGAATAGCAGGAAGTACTTAGCCAAAGTGTAGGACAGTCTTAATCAAAGCAGTCTCCTCTTGCAGAATACAGATTTTTTTTTTTTTTTGTTAAATCAAGCAAGCACTTAAGTTAGCTGCACAATCCACTGAAGCTTTCACAAACTGAAAAGATCATCCTTAGGGAAACGGCATACTGATCCTTACAGATTTTTACGTCTAACTAATCCAGGCAGTTCCAATAGTAAAGGACCTACGCATGACAGTTCATGTTCAGATGCTCCATTACAGAAACATTTAGACAGAGAACTTTTTCTGACTCTCCCCATGTGGCACATCCAAACTAGTGACCTACCTGTCAGAGCTGATGGGGACTTTTTAATTGTGTCAGGCTCTCCTATTTACAGGCCACTCTTACCAGTACAGTCAGGCTAGAAAGCTTACTTGTTATTGATCCCCAGATAAAGCCTGTCTACACTACGTAAATATTTAAGTTCTTTTATTTTCTTAGCCTCCTGGACAGAGGCAACTAGCAACCAAGTCAACAAGTCCTTTGAATAAAAAGGGGATTAGCTCTTTGTAGTTCAGTTATGCTTTCACTGTTAGGCATTATTAAGGACCTCCTCATGAGGTATAAGACAGCTGGTGGAGGAAGGAAGATTAAGCTGTAAAAGAACAAAGAAAGCAGTGACAAATGAAAGAATAGCTGCAAACAAAAGAGTAGAATAGGAAATTTTCTAAGGCACGAGCTAAGGACAACAACAGTCAGTAAAACTGCTCCATTTAGAGCTAATGATACTGATAACTTCTGGAACTACAAATTGACAGGCATCAAGTCAAATAATCCAGAGAAGGACAACCTTAGTGGCACATGCAAACATGTGAAATCTATGTCTGTTTTCCCTACCCTGTATTTAGTAAAAAAACCCCACAACAAACCAAAAGCAACACCACAAACAAAAAAAACCCCACCAAACCAAATAAACCCCTCTGCTAAATTATTTTTTGCTGAGACAATGGCTTCATGTTTCTTAAAGTACAGAAGGAGAGTATTCAATTGAGATTCAAATCAACGGCCAACTTTATCGGTCAACAAAAAGCTGTTTTACTTACAATCATCAGAGGATAGTCTGCAAGTGAGAGATACTCATATGGCCCCTTCAGTTCTACCATCACTGTCAAAAGACAATACAATAATCAAATTGAACAAGAACCAAAAGCACAAAGCCAGGATAAAGTACTTAACTGATCTTTATTCAAGCATGAAGAAATTCCAAATCTTCACAGAGCTTTTAAATCTAACTTGCACATTAATCAAACAAAGTTAAGACTCCTAACACACTCAGCTAAAAGCATGCAATTAAAATCACACGCTCCATTACCAAGTAACACATGGCAGTACTTAAAGTAAAAGTAATTTGTGCTGGGGATTCAGGCGTAACAGGAAGGTTCAGAAACACAAGTTAACTTTTTAAGGGGATTTTCAAACTTCTCTATAGTTTGGATAGGTTATCAAGGCACTGTTTGATATGCTCTAATATAATTTCAAGGTGACAATTACAGTCTTTATATCCTACATGATTTGAGCTTGTTCATGTAAATCGCTGCGTTGGTCCGGATATTTCTGAAACACAACACCAAGCCTCAGAAATGAACTGCCTGGGATCCTTCTTTACTTCCATCACTAAACTGACAGATCAAGAACCTTAGGATCTTCAACACACTAACAACCACCTATTTGGTTTTGGTAAGAAGGAGTTGTAGTAGGCAATACTTACATCTGTGTGAAGTGAATGATAGTGTCCTATGAAAATGAGCCACACAGTATGTATTAAAACTACCTTAGAACACACTCAGACTTGTACACCTAAAAAAAGGCACTACATTTTTATCTTAATGTATAACCAGCTATCTTACTTGTAAATGGCTTATTTTGATATGAGGAAGGTGTTGTTTTCTCCATTCTTTTAATTTTGGTAGTAGAATCCTTCACAGTTGTGAAAATTCCTATTTGCACAATAAATATATACGGCCCATCTCGCCAAGTTTTGATAACAGCATTCATTGCCTGAAAAATAAAATGTCTCCATGTAGACAGTGCATGGTCAAGAAGACACAAAAATAGACACAAGTAGATTCACCATACATGGGTGATATCATCAATACAGTTCATCTCTTCCGAGGCCTAAAATTCGGTAATAAATATTTGATAGGTAAATTTTTAATCTATTTATTAGACACAACACTTGAAATTTAGTTGTTTGAATCCAGAAGAATCCTCTAAGACCTGAGGGGTGATCAGGGCTTATTTGCAAATTTAATACAGGCTTACTGCAAGAGACATCTCAAAGGTACTGCAAAAGCTGTATAAAAAAAAATTCAGTAAAGCATCGTATTCCTTGTTTTCAGCCTAGAAACATTAGGACCATCAGACAGAGACTTCTTTCCTCCTGAAATCAACTGTTTGACAAGAGCACAGCTACACATAGCTCCCTGGTGAAGGATGAATTTTATAGTATAAGATAGAAGAGACACTTGAGAATTAAAAAATTTCCATAGTAGTCATTTTCTGTGGAAAATACTACTGCTCCTGCAACAGCTCTCATACCTATAAGACTCAAACCCTGCCAATGAACTAACAAAGGAAGCCTGCCCAGGTTAAGTATTTGCACCATAAAACAAATCAAAAATCTGAGTCCCAGCATACAAAACTTAATTCCACATCTGAAGAAGTTGTATCCATGTCAGAAACTGCAATATTTACCAAGAGTTTTAAGTTTAAAACTAAGACTACCGACATGTATGCCAGTCATGACCACTGTACACCAAAGGCTTCTTTTATCATGGCCTCTCCAAGCAAATTTCAATATTAAGAGCATTTCTTTTAAAAAGCCTCCTGACTGCAGGACCTAAAGCCAACAAAATTTTATGTATCCAAAAAGAATTTATATTGACTGAAATTAAAAGACTTTGTTAAAAAGACAGTAAGCCTTTTTAATAGGCCAATTTTGCCTTTAAAATATCTCCATCTCTTGCTGCATTGATTCCTTATTTCACAATTGCACACACAGCTATTTATATTTTAGCTTTAAGGTTAATGGCCCTGTAAGTACACAGGGAGTTAAATACATTTGCTTTATTGGCATCCAGAACATTCAACTTGAAGTTATTTTGACAATCATTCCTGGTTAAAGCTTGAACATACTGTATATTTAAAATACTAACTGATCTGAAAATCGAAAGTTATCACTCAACTTGTTAGGTATAATGTTTTAAAAGACTGAAACCAATTCTAACATCTAAATATTAAGTCACCACTTAAAACAGATCACATCGATGATTACTTTAAATTACTATGAAAAAATAAATTTATT